CCCTACTTACCCCCTCGGTCGTGCCTTGGCAGCTCAGATCGNGACCCGTNCCGACCAAGCTGGCAAGGAAGAGTCGATCCGGCAGGCAGCGAGGAGCAACATCCACCGTGCATCCGCCTCCCCTCTCCTTCGTACTTATCACCGCAGCTCTCGTTGGTTCCCTCTGGCTGGAACCGAGGGCCGGTTGCACCGTCCTCCACGTCATTGTGTACTTTCGACCCTGGATTGAAGAGGAGGAGAGACGAGGCGAGGTGGCTCCCCAGATCGCTCGCACTCGCGGTCGGTCGGGAAGAAGAACGTCTGGGCTACATAACAGCGCAAGCAGGGCGTGGATGGAGGCCGTATGGGGTCATGTCCGCCTTTTTCCGTCTCGAAGTGCGTGGGTGCGTGGTCGTCGGAGGCGAAGTGTGACGTCTTGGGACCTGCTGGCACCGACGCTCCCCTCCCCTCCCTCTTACAAACGGGGAAGGTACCCGTAGGGGCGGTAGACGGCGGTGGCTGCTGCGCTCTTTCCTCGGTCGTACTTCTCAGCCTAGCGTCGAGCCGAGAGTCGCATCGGCAACGTAATGTTACCTTGCGGTCCAGCCATCCGGCCCTCGATGAGCCCCGCTCGAGGATAACAAAGAGGTGGGCAGGACAGGATCAGCTCGACGCCTGTACCATACCGCGTGTAGCCCACCGAATCGTCGGCTCTATGTAGCCAGGCGAGCAAGGCATCTGCCGCACCTACATGCCCCGTCAGAGCACGAACCGGATCGCCGTGGGACACACACCTGAGGTATCTCTGCTGCAAGGGCCACCGGTGACGAGGGACAAGCCGCCGCTGACGGGAAGAACGAAGAGGGTGCGCGCAATCACCGCTAAAGTCCGCAAAGGGCAGCGTGCCGATGAAGGCGAAGCAAGACGTCGGAGTGAGAGGAAAAGGGAGGGAGAGTTGAGCGAGGTCAGGACGGTCGGGATGCACTGCGATGGCCTGGTACATACAGAAGGTAAAAGCGACGGCGGTGAGCGCATGCCGATGCGATGTGGGAAGAGTCAAGGGGGGTCTGCGCTTGATGCGATCCATGCCGCCGTCGGCTTGGTTGCCGCCTGATCGCTCGATGATGATGAGTTTTGGCTGCCCGGCTGACTTTTTGGGTCTCGGAGTGGGGGGGCAGACGACGATCGAGTACTGCCCTCGCTCGCGATATCGACGGCGGTGTCGGTGGTTCCCAGAGGTGTTTGTCGCCGCCGCCGCCGTCGTCGTCCTCGTCGCCGTCGCCTGACCTCGACGATGGCTGGGAAGGAACAAAAGGAGGCTCGAGGTTGGTGCCAGGTAGGGATGATTCCTCGCCCCCAACTCTGCTCGCTCCCCTCGTTGACCCCACCCGCAACACCTTGGCACGAAACGATATCGCGCCAGCCTGCGACTTGCCAGTTGACCTGTGAGTTGCATTTCTCGCCGCGCCTTGACATCCGGCCGGCCGGCGCTTTGCTGGCTGCACCCTTTTTGGCTGCACAGGGCTGCACGCTTGCCGTGCCGTGACAGGCCTGCTGAGCTGGCGGCGACCGAGGGGGAATTACCCCACACTTGTCCCAGGCGCAGCGGGCGGGCCGGCGGAGAGCGGCGCCAGACGAGGCTGGCGGGCAGATCGAAGGATGGAGGTTGGGGGGGAGCGGGAGGGGGAGAGGGGAGAGGGGAGCCAAGCAAGGGTGGCCCATTCGCCTTTGTCCCTCGACCGCCGTCGGCCCCCTCACGGCGCGCCATCGGCGACCTACGGTAACCTCGCCCCCCTGGAGCATGTTGGCCTTGCCCCTGGTGCCAGCGGCCTCAACCGGGACTCTGGGGCCACAGAAGGGGCCTTCTTGTGCGGGGCAGAGGCCGCCTCGGCTGTCCAGCAGAGGTGTCGTTTGCCGCCGCCCCCTCGTAGGCGAAGGTGTTGCGTCGTCATGCTCGCCGCTGCCTTGCCGTCTCTGCCGCGTCGAGCGGTCCGCCAGCTCCCTTGTCTCGGCCCTCGTCGCCCTCGTCGCTCACCTTTCTCTCGCCCGTTGTTGGGTCCTCGGTCCCCTTGTCCGCCTTTCCCCCCCTTCTTCTCGGTCACTTCGCCGCCACCGCCGCCGTCTGCTCTCGGGCCCCAATCTCCGTCGTCGCCCTTCTCCCCCGTCCAGGATCCACGCCATCGCCTATATAAACCACCCTCGCAGATCATCCAGCCTATCCCGACTCTCTTCTCCGCCAACATGCTCGCTCGCACCTCTCTTCTTCGCAACTTTGCCCCCCGCACTCTCAACCCCACCCGCACCTTTGCCACCTCGCACGCCAACATGACCAAGATTGTCGCTGTCCTTTACTCTGGCGGCAAGCACGCCCAGGAGGAGCCCCGCCTGCTCGGCACCGTCGAGAACAAGCTCGGCATCGCAGACTGGCTCAAGGAGCAGGGCCACGAGCTCGTCGTCACCGACGACAAGGAGGGCGCCGGCTCCGCCTTCCGCCAGCACGTCAAGGACGCCGAGATTGTCATCACCACGCCCTTCCACCCGGGCTACCTCACAAAGGAGGTCCTCGACGAGGCAAAGAACCTCAAGTGCTGCATCACCGCCGGCGTCGGCTCCGACCACGTCGACCTCGACGTCGCCAACCAGCGCGGCATCTCGGTCTACGAGGTCACCGGATCCAACGTCGTCAGCGTCGCAGAGCACGTCGTCATGACCATCCTCAACCTCGTCCGCAACTTTGTCCCCGCCAACCAGCAGTACCTCGGCGGCGGATGGAACGTCTCCGAGGTCGCCCGCGACACCTACGACCTCGAGGGCAAGGTGGTCGGTGAGTAGTCGGCGGGCCGCCCTCTTTCCCGCCATTCACCGGGCTGACCAGGTGTCCTGACCCTCCCTCTCTCCCTCGCTCACACCACCTCGCAGGCACCCTCGGCTCCGGACGCATCGGCTCGCGTGTCCTCCAGCGCCTCAAGCCCTTTGACTGCGCCAAGCTGACTTACTACGACTACCAGCGCAACGAGGCCCTCGAGCGCGACACGGGCGCCGAGCGCCGCGAGGACCTCAAGCAGTTCCTCTCGGAGCTCGACGTCCTCACCATCAACTGCCCCCTCTACCCCGAGACCAAGGGCCTCATCAACGCAGAGAAGCTCTCCTGGCTCAAGAAGGGCGCCTGGATCGTCAACACCGCCCGCGGCGCCATCGTCGACGCCCAGGCCGTCAAGGACGCCCTCGCCAGCGGCCACATCCGCGGTTACGGCGGTGACGTCTCCAGCATCCAGCCCGCCCCCAAGGTAAGTCGATCCCCCTTCCCCCCTCGGCCCGCCGATACGCTCGTCGCCTCGATCTTTCGCTGATCCGTCGTCGTCCACTCCTCGGATTCGTACTCGCGCAGGACCACCCATTTAGGACGGCTTTTTACAAGTCTCAGGCGCCCAACGGCAATGCGATGACTCCGCATGTTTCCGTGAGTGTTGTGCGGCCGCGACGACGTCGCGGGGGATGGCGTTGTCCGCGGTGGCGGCGGCGACACCGTGGGTCAAGCGGCGCTGACCGGACGCATTTTTCGGCGATGCTTCTTCTTGGTGAAAATCCTCCAACAGGGAACCTCCATCGACGCCCAGGCCCGCTACGCCGCCGGTACCAAGGAGATCCTGCGCCGCTACTTTGCCGGCGAGAAGCGTAAGTGTTGGGGGATGCTGTCAGGAGCGGGGGTCGAGGCAGGGGTGGGACATCGTACAGACATGGCGCTGACACTCGGCACACCTCTCGCCCCTTCACCTACCACGACCTGCAGAGGAGCCCGCCAACGTCATCGTCGAGGGCGGCGCATATGCTACCAAGGCCTACGGGCAGCGCAAGTAGGAGCAGATAGACGAGCGAGCGGTGCTGAGCAGCACCAGTCGACGTTGCAGAAATGTCAGAAGATCGCGGTTGCGACTTGATCATGTTCCCCTCCTCGATCCGCGACCTTTGAGCAGACTGTGCAACGAGGCCTCTCCAGACAGCTTTAACCAAACTTGGCATTGGCTCGTACAGCGCGCGGGTGTGCTCAATGGTCACATTCGAGGTTCGCAGCGCCCTGCTCCGCGCTTTGTGCTTGGACCCTACGCGATCACAATGATGCTGAGGAGACGACGTTTGGCAGGGTTGCGATCCGACGCGAGGGAGGTGATACCATTCACGCGAGGCTTGGAGCTTCTCGTCGTTGTCCTCGTCGGCTTCGTCGTCATTGGGCGCCTTGTTGTTGCGGCTCGCTGTCGTCGTTGGGCGCCTTGTTGTTGCAGCTAGTTGTTGCAGCCAGTCGTCGTCGTCGTCGTCGTCGTCGTCGGGGCCTTATTCTTGCAACTAGTCGTCGTCGTCGTCGTCGTCGTCCTCCTCCTCCTCCTCCTCATAGTCGGCTTCGTCGTCCTTGCTGGCCGTCTTCCTGCTGCTGCTCGCGACCGCAGGACCGGCCTTCTTGGCCTCGTCGTCCTTGCTGGCCGTCTTCCTGCTGCTGCTCGCGACCGCAGGACCGGCCTTCTTGGCTGCGCGTTTTTCCCGTTCCTCCCGCGCGTGCTTCGCCTTCTTTTCCGGCGTGTTGGTCCTCGCGCGGTACTCCCGGCGCTTCCGCAGCGCCTCCGCTTTTTCTTCTGGGCTCCTTGCGGCCTTGCGTGCCTTGTCGTAGGCGGCCTTGGCCGCCTTCGACTCGGCCGTCGGCGCAATCCTCCGGGCCTTGGCCTTGCGGGCGTCTTCGGCCCGCTCCTCGTCGTTTCGGGCCGCTCGCTTGGCCTTCTGTTGAGTGATCAGGGCCTCCTTTCGCGCCGGGTAGCGGGCTCGATCCTTCTCCCTCTGGACCTCTTTCTCCTCCTCCGTCTTGCGCTCTCTCCTCTCTCTGTCCTGAACCCGCCGCCTCTCCACCACCTCATCGTCCCGCTCCTTCCACCTCTGCCTCTCCTTTTCCAGGCGCTGCTCCCGCAGGACCGGATCATCCTCCTCCCGAGCCCGCCTGCGTGCCCTCTCCGCCTTTCCCCGCTCCAGGCGCTCCTCCCGGAGGCTCGGATCCTCCTCCTCGCGCACTCGCTCCTCCGCCCTTTTCGCCCTCCTCTGCTCTGCCCTCGCCTCGTCATCGAGGCCCGCCCTTGTCTGCCTTTGCGCTCTCGATGACGAGGAGGCCGCGATGGCCTGCACCGCCGAACGGTTGCGGATCTTGCCCCAGGAGCGACGCAGGGCCGAGGATCCCGTTTCGACCTCGTGTCCGCTGCCCACAAAGAGCAGGAAGTTCTCTCTCATCCCGTCCGTCTTGGCGAAGAGCTTGTCGGGCTCGTCGTAAAAGGAACGGGGCTTGCCATCGTCGCCACGGCCGCAGAGCGCAATGCCGTGGTCCTCGATCAGATGCTGTGGGAAGTCGATGGCGGCGTGCAGGGTATCGCAGAGCTCGCAGGTGCGAACCTCTTCGCGGACGTTGACGACGTGGTGGACTGCGACGTGCTCTTCCACCAGGTGGGTAGTGGCGAAGTACTTGTCCCTCTTGGATGGACGCAAGTAGGCGTCGATCAGGCAGATCGGACAATGGTGGCCAGAGATGTCGGTGCTGTCGAGGTGCTCGAGCCTTTGCGCCACGTCCTGAGCGAAGTGCGCCTCGATCGCCACGGTGCCAATCAGCCAGACGTCGTGCTGGTGACAGAAGGTGGCATCCGCCATGGACAAGCCATGGGCAGCCTCGAGGTGGGCCAGAAAGAGAGCCCTTTCTGCGTCGGACGCGAGCAAGGACTCCTTGCCGTTGGAGACGGCAAAGCTGCAGCGCGAGTCGGCGCCGTCGACGACGTTGCACGCCAGCCTGGCGTTCTTGCGAAGCTTCGAGTCGATATGAGCCCGGATGTGCTCGTGCGCCGCTGTGGCGGCACCCTCGTGCTCATAGGAGGCCGCAAAGACGTGGCTGCACTCAGAGACAGCGCAGCCCTCGCCGGCGACGATGCCGGCGATTGTACTTGCGGCCTCGCTTTCGATCAGGCTGCGCACACAACCCTCGACGTGCGACCACTGGTTGCGGCGGTCGAGACCCGGCGGCGGCTGGCCGCAGCCCTCGCAGATCTCGCTCCAGGCGGCGGTCTTGGTGCCCGACGCGTTGAGGAGGGGGTCGGAACGTTCTGCGATGGCGGCGTGGGCATCTGTGGTGGCAAAGATGGCGGTCACATCGCAAGGGGCCTCGTGCTTCCCGGAGGTGGCAGCAGAGATGCTGGCGAACGCGGTCGCCAGGGAAGAAGCGCGAGGATCGCTGCCATCTGACCTCAGTGCGGCCCAGGTATCGAGCGAAGGATTGTCATCGGTGTCTTCGACGCCCTGGGCGCCATCCGTAACCGAGCCCGTTGCTGGAGCCGACGCCGCAGCTGGCTGCTCGACGGGGCCCGGCGCAGCCTGCTCGAGCACCGCGTCTTGCGTGCTTGCGACCTCTTCATCGTCGGTGATCTCCTCGAGGGTGGCGGGACCGACAGCCAAGCGGCGGCGGCGCTCGGCCTCCTGCATCGCGGCGCCCTTGGCGAGTCGCGCCTCGTGTCGGAGCCTCTTTCTGCGGTAGCGCACTTTGTCCGCCAAGCTTTTGCGCTCTTTGAGCCTTTCTGCGAGCTGCACTTCCAGGTCGAGCCCCAGGGGACCGGCAGCTGGCTCGTCGGCAGCGGGTGGCAGCTCGAGGCGAGGATCGACAGAGAGCTCGGCGATGCGTGCGTTGAGCGGGGCGAGGCTGGGATCGTCCTCGAGCTGGGCCTCCTCTTCTGCCGTCAGCTCCGGGTACATGGAACGGCCAAAGCCCCGAGGCTGGCGGAACTCAGCCATGGGCACCTGCTCGCCCCGCACCACCAGACCGACGACGTCGACTCCCGTTCGCTTTGTCAGGTAATGCTTGCGCATCGTGTCGGTGCCTGGTCTGTGGCCCATGGCAAACTGCGCGTCGGCTTCCGGCACGTCCGGTCGGTGCAGAGCGTTGAAGACCATGCGGCGGATGTCGTAGAAGACAAACCCAGCCATCTCGGCCGCGATGGCAACGTGGCGGAGGTCACACGCAACGCTGCTGTAGCGCAGCCCAGCTACCGGATCGACCGTGTATCCGCGGGCGCCCGGCTTGTGGTCGATCTGGCGGAGTACGAGCGTCTCGCGCATCGTGGCCTTGATGGGGAGGTCGACAAACCCGGACGGCTCGAACGCAGATGCCGGGATCCTCGATACGGCGCCGAGGTTGTCGATGTCGACAAGCGCACCGTCTTGCACGGCCAGAATGAGCAAGAGCGTGGCTGCATCCAGCGCCAACGGGATCCAAGGGGCGCTGTAGATGGATTGGATCCGGCTGCAGAAGGGAGGCGAAGGGACGCTTCAGCGCGGGGAGCGCGGCAGCAGAGGGCAGGATCGAGGGGCAAAGACTTACTAAGCTGTCGGGTCCCCGCGATGTCCCTTCTCGTTCCGTATCGTCAGATCCAGGTGAATCGTTGGGTTGCTGTTGCTGACCTTTTGCAGGCGGAAGCGTAAGTCTTTGTACTGGAGGGCGTCGTTGCTCGCCTCGTAGCCGTCCGAGACGACGATCTCCCCCGGTCGGGCACCTGTGCTACAAAGCGTGGCCAGGAGGGTCAGCATCTGTAGCCGGTCGCGGGGCGACTTAAAGACGAAGCCGCCCCCGAAGATCCCGTATTGCATGAGATGCAAGATGTCCTCCACCGACGTCTCCATGCGGGGGATGGGGTCTAAGAGACCCGCATCCTCCCGCAGGTCCCCCTCGAGATACCGGGTCAAGTCCCTCCGTACGGCCCTGGGGACCGTACGGCTCAGCCTCTCCTCGAGCTGGCGCACCACCTCGACCATGCGTCCGCGCACCGTCTCGATAGAGAGGCTCGCGGACGCATCCTCTGGGCGGGCGAGAAACTCAAGGAGGGTTCTCAAAAACGCCCGATCCTGTTCCAACTTCGGGCCGGTTGGCGAAAGGAACTTGTCGATGTCGGTGGCGAGGCCGAGCGCACCGATGTACTGTTCTGTAAACGTCTCCAGCTTCGCTGCCACCACCGCCTTCTGCTTGGCATAGCCGGGAGACGTGTCCGAGGTTGGATCCGTACCCTGGTTGGCGGTGATGCGACTGGAAATCTGACGGAAGAACTCCGAGTGATTGGCCTCCGCCGCCGCCTTTGTCCGCGAGAAGACGGCCGCATAAGCTCGCTCGTTAGCGTGCTTCTGCGCCTCTCGACTCATGACGACGGCGGCTGGCGGAGGAGGAGGATGGCGCGGCGATGGGCACCAAATGGAGAGGGGAGGGTATGGGTCAAATGGCGAGCATACGGGAAGGAAGGCGAGGATATGAGACGAAAAGGATATGGCAGGGGATGGGCGGTGAGAGATGGAGGGCGGCTGGATCGATGACCCGGCTTTGGCAAGACCACCCTTTGACGCTGGAGCCGGCTCCATGACTTCCTAGCCAGCACAACGACGTCCTGACGAGCCAGGACACTGAGCAAGCAGTGGCCCAGTCGGCAGCCCAGCCGGCACCGCAGCCGGCGCGCGAGGCCATGGACACGTCCTGGCGAGCAAGGGCGTCTGGCCAGGCAGCGCCGCGGCGGGCGCGTGAGGCCATGGCCTCGTCCTTGCGAGCAAGAGTGACTGGCCAGGCAGCGGCCCCGGCGCTGCGGGACCCAGCAACGTCCGGACGGAGGGCTGTGCCAGGCGGACTCATCAGCTCGCCGCAATCTGCCTGAGCAGCGTCTGGTGGGCCTCGCGAAGCCTGCTCGGCACGCACGGGCCCCGCCATTGCTTTGCGCCTGCTGGCGTTGGTCGGGGCCTGCCGAACCAGATTAGCCATCTGAGCGTCGGGCTGGAACAGGCAGCTGGCACAAGCGCAGGCCAGACGTCCTACAGCAGATGTTGCGGTCATCTTGTGATTGCAGGTCGGGAAGGGGGATTGGGGATGGGTTGGGATGGGTGGGCAGGGAGAAGGGCCGGGGCCATCAGACGGGAGGGGCAGAGAAGACAAGGAGCAAAAAGGGTGAGACGGGTGAGAGCTGAGAGCGGTCGTGGGTTTGACGAACGCAGACCACTTTATACGTCTCGGAGGCGATCCGATAAGGGGGCCCCCGCTTCAGGAGCCTGAGCAAAGCTGCAGGCAGGTGCATGCGCAGGTCCGCCCAAACATGAATGCACCAGGCAGGCACCCCGCCCCTTTTCCGCCCTTCACGTACTTTGCTTTTTCGGAGCGATCGGAGATGCCGAAGGGGAGAGTGATGACTCGGCAGGAGTGATGAAGCAAGCTGGAGCGCGGTGGGTGGGTGACTGGCCTGCTGACCGTGAGCGGCCTCGAGCTTGGCAGCGTTCCGCTCGCAGCCACCGAAACAACGCTTGGCCACGCCACGCCCTTCCACGTCGACGGGGTCGTTTCTGTCGGCCGATAAAGGCGGCGCGGGCAGCCAGGAGTGCTGGCACCTTCCCGTGGCGCCCACATCGGAAGTGTGGGGGAACCCCCTCCAGCGCCGCCGCCGAGACCGCCAGGTTTAAAGTCGGTGCACCGCCCCGGGGCCTCGCCATTCTTCTTCCTCCTTCAACCCGCCCTCCTGCCCATCGACCGACACTCCTCTCCGGCAGAGCACAAGGCAGCATCACCACCGCCTGATACCAAGACCCGGTCCGCCACCTCAAGCAGCAGGACCGCTTCCTCGGCGTCTACAGCTCCCCGTCTTCGCCAGCCCGGGCAGGAGGCCACCGTCGACAACGAGGTCCGACCTGCCTGCACCTCGAAACCCGCTGCGCCACCTCTCTGCCGGGCCACCGGCCTCGTCACCACCATGAGGGCCTACTACCGCATCCCCTCTCTCCTCGCCTTCTCCCTCACGATATGCCTCTGGGTCAGCTTCACGGCGCCCACCGTGCTGGCCGAGCCAGAGGCGGCGGCGGCGGGCGGCCAGGTGCCCTTCGCCACGCCCGACGTCGCCTCGGCATCCGAGCTCCTCGCCCAGGCCAACCAGGCGCTCCAGTCCGGACAGTACCAGCAGGCCCTCTCGGCGTTTGACCAGGCGCTCATCGCCGACCCGACCAGCTGGCTCACCTACTACCGCCGGGCCACGGCCCAGCTCTCGCTCGGACGCACCTCGTCTGCCCTCCAGGACTTCCAGTCGCTCCTCGACCTCAACCCGCAGTTTGAAAAGGCCCGGCTGCAGCGAGCCAAGATCTTTCTCAAGGAGGGCGAGCTGGACAAGGCGCACGCCGAGATGAAGCAGTGGGAGCGGATCCGAAAGGACAAGGGCGCATCGGCCGCCGTGCCCGAGGGCAGCGCGCTGCTGGCCAAGCTCGACAAGACCACCAAGAACCTCGCCGCGCTCAACAAGATGCAGAAGGACGTCGCAAAGGCCCGCAGCGGCGGCGCCAAGGGCAAGGGCAAGGGGATGGACGCAGCCAAGGTCGACCAGTGCATCAGGCTGGCCGGCGAGATCCTCGAGGTTTCGCCCAGCCACCTCGATACCCGCATGATGCGCGCCGATTGCCAGATGCTCAAGGGTAGCGTCGAGGACGCCATGGCCGATTGGAGGTGAGTAGCCGATCGGCGGCCCCGACGGCGCTGGCGATGGCAACAGCAGCGGCAGCCCCGACGGCGCTGGCGATGGCAACAGCAGCGGCAGCAGCGGCAGCGCACAGCATCAACGTACTGACCCCACTCTTACGCCTACCTCAACCCCCTGCGCCGACACAGCCGCGTCGTCCACCTGGCGCCGTCGCCGTTCCTGCTGCGCCGGCTCTCGTCGCTGTCGTACTTTATCGTCGGCACGCCCGGCTCGCAGTCGCACGAGGCTGGCCTGGCCCACCTCAAGTCGTGCCTCCACTCGGACCCGGACAACAAGCAGTGCGCCCGCGCCCACCGCCGCCTCAAGAACCTCGAAAAGGCGCTCAAGAAGGCGCGCAACTTTGCCCAGGGCGGCAGCTACCGGGCCGTGCTGAGCGCGCTCAAGGGCGGCAAGGTCGGAGGCCCCACCGTGGTCCAGGAGATTGAGAAGGCCATCGAGGAAGACTGCCAGCCGCGCGAGGGCGAGGAGGCGGCCGTGCTGCCCCTCGAGCGCGACGCCGCCATCGAGAGCAGCTCGCTGCTGCACGAGATCCACTCGATGTACTGCAAGGCCCATGCCGAGCTCAACGAGCTCGGCAAGGCGATGCCCTACTGCGAAAAGGTGCTGGCGCGGGATCCGGACAACGTCGACGCCACCGTCGCCCGCGCCGACGCGCACCTCAAGGACGAGCGGTACGACGAGGCGGTGCGCGACTACACCAAGGCGTTTGAGGCGTCGGGCCGCTCGGACCGGGCGATCCACGCGAAGCTCAACACGGCGCAGAAGCGGCTCAAGCTGAGCCAGACAAAGGACTACTACAAGGTTCTCGGCGTCAAGCGGACCGACGACCTGGCCACGATCAAAAAGGCGTACCGTACAATGGCCAAAAAGAACCACCCGGACAAGGGCGGCACGCAGGAAAAGATGGCCGAGATCAACGAGGCCTGGGGCGTGCTGGGCGACGAGGAGCTCAGGAAGAGGTACGACGCCGGAGACGACCCCAACGACCCCGCCGGCGGACAGGGCGGCCACGGCAACCCCTTCGCCCAGGGCGGCCATCCGTTCGAGATGTTCTTCAACCAGCAGGGCGGGGGCGGCTTCCCCGGCGGCGGCGGCTTCCCCGGTGGCGGCTTCCCCGGAGGTGGCTTCCCCGGCGGCGGCTTCCGTCAGGGCGGCTTCGGAGGCGGACAGCAGCAGTGGAACTTCAAGTTTGGCTAAGGGGAGAGGAGGTGGTGTTGTTGTTGTTGGTGGTGGTGGAAGGGGCGCAGTGGACCCGAGCGCGACGCCGCGCGGCCGAGATGCTCAGACCTGGTGGTCCGTCGCTGCCGGGTCTCTTTGTCGGTCGCCTCTTTCTTGCTTCCTTGCGCAACTAGATTGTCATGTTCAGATCCAGGTGCTTGTTTGTGCAAACGGCGGCAAGGTGGGAGATGGAGGCCCGTCGTGGTCGACGGCGCGCGCGGCGGCGATGTCGGCATCGCAGGACGACCCCCGGGACGACTGGGAGCGTGCCCCCGAACGTCCATCGTGCGCAATGGCGAGAGAGGTATGATCAAAAATAAAGCCAGGCAAGGCGGAGAGAGGAAGGCGGCGCGGCTTCACGACACGGCCTCTCTCTGCCTCTGCGCCGAGCCGCCAAGTCCTGGTCCAGGCGGCCCAGGCGGCGGCGGCGGCGGCGCCTCGGCCGTCATGATCATGAGCTCGGCGATGTCCTGCTCGTCGAGTCCGCAGAGGCCGCGCGCCTTTGCCTTGACGCGCAGGTTGCGGTCGAGGGTGAGGAGCGCCGCCTTGGCCGTGTCGGGCTGCAGCTTGAGTCGCTCGGCGGCAGGGTGGGCGGTGAGGAGCGCCAGACGGTCGACGAAATGGTCCGTCTGCCACGCCAGGCAGCGCAGGATGACCTCGTCGACGTTGCGCGCCGCCAGGCTCTTTTCGCGCGCGCCCGCGCCCGCGCCCTCCTCTGCGGCCGCCGCCGAGGCGGGCAGGCCGAAGCTCATGTCCTCGGACCGGATCGAAAGGTCGCACAGGTAGTTGCCGCGGCTGGTCTGCACCTTGAGCCACTTGGCGTGGCTGCGGATGTGGCCTTCGAGGAAGCGGATCGCCCGAGCCGCCTCCTCGCCGAGCGCATTGGCGTTGCGCTTCAGCCCGTCGAGCTCCGTCACGACCGCCAGCGGTACCACCACGGTCCACCTCTGCGACTCGACGAGCTGCTTCAAGAGGTCGCCCGGCGTGACGAGGACGTTGGTATCCATCAGCAGCACAGTGTAGCCCGGCAGCACGCCGTGGAACGAGAATGGCTTCCTCCGGGTCGAGTCGAGAGTGTTGGTGGCGGCAACGTTGCTGCCGTTGCGGCCGCCAGGAGCCTTGGCCTTCGGGCGTGAACCGCGGGACTGCGGTGGCTTGTGCGGGGCGCTTGTCTCGAGGATGGCCTTGGTGGACCGGAGGACGCCCTTGAGATAGCGCTTCCGCTCCCGCAGCTGCCGCACGGCTTCGTCCTCGCCATCAGCGGCTCCGGCGTCGTCGTCCGTCTCCGTATCGCTCGCCAGGTCGTCTTGGGTCAACAGAGAGTTGTGCGACGAGAGGTCGAGCGACTTGGCCAGCCTCATCATCTCGAGCTGCTTTTCGAGCTTCTGCCGCTCCTCTTCGGCCTTCCAGCGGGCGATCCTCGACTGCAGCGGCTTGGCAATCGAGAAGGTCTGCGTTCGAGGGTCGAGTTCGAGCCCGCGAGACGTCTTGACCAGCCGCGATGCGATAAAGGCGATGCGCTGCCGTCGAAGGTCCTCGAGCGACGGGCAGCGATCGCCACCCCGGACCGTCGAGGGCCCCGTCTGGAACTTGGCGTGCAGCTCGTCGTCTTCGCTGTCGAGCACCTCGGTCTCTGTGCGGAAGACGGGAAGCGACGACGCCGAAGTCGAGGCGCACGACTTCTTCCAGAGCGCCCGGTCGTAGGTCTGCTTGCCGACGCCGGCGGTGCCGCGCAGGCACCAATCCTCTGGCAGCGGATACTTGCCCGCGATGTACGGAGGGGCGTCCTTTGACGCCCTGACAATCACATCGACGGGAAGTGTCCGTGTGAAGTCGACTAGCGCTTGCCACGGCATGTGCCGCTCAACCAGCCGGTGGACTGGCCGGAAGCGGATCACCGAAAAGATGAAGGTGAGGAACTCGGTAACGTACGGGTTGGTGCCGCCGTCGCCGCCGATGCTGGAAGCCCCGTGGTTCTGCTGATGCAGGCAGAATTCGAGCATGAAGAACGCCAGCCTCATCGCATAGGTCAGCGTGACGGGCACGTCCTCGGGATGATCCTGTGCTTCCTCCCGACCATCCAGCTGGATGACGGCGATCTCGTCGCCGGCGTCCGAGAGGTCCTCGGACCCATCTTCCCACGCATCGGCCGGCGTCGGAAAGGCCCCGGCCTGAGTATCTTCGGCCTTGACGTTGTGATTGACCAGAATCGCCGTCGGGGTCGCTACCTTGCCCCGGTCGGTCTTCGCCGTCCGGGTATCGCCAGCCTTGGTCGAGCGTCGCAACAGGGGCTGCAGCACGGCAGACCCTTCGGCGCCGTACTGGAGGAGACCGGCGCTGTTGATGGACGCCATGACCATCCAGGTGGACTCGGTCAGCGGGTGCTGGCAGACGAGCACGCCTTCGCTCCCCATCTTCTCGCGCAGCCGCGCAAAGACCTCGTCAAAGTCGTCGAGCTGGACGCGCGAGATCAGGGCGCCGTGCAGGTAGATGAAGAGATCCTCGACCGAGGCATCGCCCTGCAGACGGCGTGACTGGTGCTCATGGTCAAAGAGCGACAGGATCGTCTCCTTGGCACTGGCGAACGGGTGAGCTGCTGTCAGGCTACGGCGTCGTGGAAGCCAGAGCCCATCGAAAGACAAAGACATCTCGCAGATGTCAGCGAGGAGCAGAACAGCACGATCGTAGCTGCCGACGGCGGCCTACTCACCTCCTGCAAAGATGGTACAGCGCTCGGAGCTCGTCGTTCTTGCTCAGAATGCCGAGGTGGTGATGGAGGCGACCGACACCGGGCGCCTCGGCCAAGCCCCGCGCGTACCAATCGCGCGCCGTCTGTCGCCAGGTCTCCTTCTCAACAAACTCCCAGTCCCCAAGCGCATCGCTGCCGATGCTCGCGCCGTCCATGGCCGGCTCTTCGAACCCTGCGCGATCATAGCCGAAGCCATCGTCGCCGCCGTCGTCATCGTCGATGCGCATGTGCTCGGCCCGCCTGCGTTCCGACCGCTCCGCCTTGTTGCGGACGCCGCTGTCGTCGTCGAGGGAGAGAGACGCAGCCAGACCGGCCACGGCCATCCGGTAGCGGGCGAGGTCGCCGAGGCTCTCGATCCATGCCCGGCGGAATACGCGGAACTTTTCCGTCTCAAAGAGGGTGGTGTAGAAGGCATAGGCGAAGTAGATGAACTCGGTGAGGTGGTCCAGCAGCTCCGAGCCGCAGGCACGCACGCTCCGGGCCTGCTGCGCGGTGGGCAGGCTGTGGCGCAGGCGCTCGAGCATCATGTGGAAGCCCGTCTGCCACAGGCGGGTGGGGAGGTTGTAGGTGCGGGGCAGCTCCTGGACCGACTCTGGCATGTCGGACCGCAGCGTCATCTCGAGAAAGCTCGACTGCAGCTCGGCCAGCTCGCGGTGGTCGGCAGCCAGCCTGAGCCAGTAGTCGTGGTTGAGGCTGCGCGGCTGGGCGCCGTCGGTGGTCGCGCTGTCCCTCTGCTTGTCGGCTTCGGAGCGGTGCGCCTGCTGCAGCTTGGCCTCGAGCAGGCAGATGCGGCGGTAGAGCTGCTTGATCTCTTGGACATGCATCGACAAGGTGTAGGTGCTCGAGAGCTCGGGGCCGGCAGCCTGGAACTGCGAAATGCCCGAAGCTGCGGTCGCCTGGCTCGCTGCAAAACTCTCGACCCTCGATCCGCCCAGCGATGTTGTCGCGGCCAGGTGGGTGCCTCTCACGCCGTGCGTCGCGTTGGTCCCGTTTGGTGGCAGATGACGCGAGTGTTCATCGATCGAAGCATTTGGAGGGTTCGTTCGCTGCTGGCTGGCAAACCTGACCGGGTCGTGGCGTCTCGGATCAAAGAGCTGCCTGCCATCCCGGCTGACGCTGCTAAAGTCCTGGACGGCAGCAGCGTGGCGACCCTCGGCGGTGCGTGCGCTCCTCTCACGTCGTCCAGACCCGCCGGCCCGGGTGGCGGTGGATGGCGCCATCGCCGCGCCTGTCGCCTCCTGCCTGCCGATGCTGCTACTGCGCTCCTGTGCACGCAGGTCCGGCAGCACGCCTTTCTCTGAGCTCTGCCTGCTCCTCCTCGCCCCGCCTGATCCAGCAGTTTTGGTACCGTCGTGGGCCTGCCTTGATGCAAAGCCTGTTGCGGTGGCCGAGCTTTCGGCCTCGGTGCTGGTCGTGACCCGTTGCTGGCTTCTCTTAACCTCGCTGGAGATCGGAGGAGCAGGACCGGTGCCAGGCGGCTTGTCGCGATACGCTTCGTCGGCGGAGCCGGTATCCGGGGTATCTCTGTTACCGTTTCTTCTGGAGGGTCGGGAACGGCCGGGGCCGTGGCGAGGGTCAGAGGAGCGTGCATTCCGACGCTGGTAGGCTATGATGGCGGAGGCGATATCTGTGGGCGCCTGGCCGGATGTCGAGCCTGTCGACGCAGCTCCAGCAGCACCAAGGTGGAGACCGTCGTCTGCACCGCCCCGGTCGTCGGCCTCGCGCCTGGCCCTCGCGGCCGACGTCCGGCTGCCATGATGATGATGTCGTGGGGGCCTCTGTGCCGGTCTGCCCGCTGGCTCCTTGGTGGGCGATGGATCGGCTCGGAGATCAGAGACCGACACCGGGGATGAGGTGGACTGAAAGGGCATTCTATCCCGGCGCTTCCGAGAGTGCAGGCCTCAGCGGTGAAGCCGAGTGCTCTGGCTCGTTCAAGTGGCGGCGGGGAACCGGTCGTCGGTCCGCTGGGTATGGCGGTGCGAGGTTAAGGTCTGGTGCAAGGGGCCAGTGGTGCGGCTGCTTTGGCGTAGTCGAAGGAGGCACTGAACCCTGAATCGGCAGCTTCCGCCGCAAGCATGGTCGAAGGAGCTATGGTGGCAGCTGGCAGTCTGAATCCTTCTTTCGGGGTCGCGGGAACGTGCGGGAGTGGGCGCCGATGCCAAGGCGCTCTGCCGGTTGCTGACGTGTCCTCGGGCAGCCGTTTGCTGCAGCTGATATGATGGACAGGTCGGATCCCGGTGGCAAGTCGCTGGGGCCGGGGCAGAAGCGGCGTGGGAAGTAGTAGTGATGGTCGTCAGAGAGACAAGAGGGGATCAGAGGGCTGCCGAAGCTCAACCGCAGGGCTGGCAGCCACGGCCGAGGCGCCCCGTTGGCTGACGAGCGGCCCGCCCGCGCTCAAAAAAAGTGGGGCCACCGCACCGCCTGGCCTGGCTGCGCTGCGCTGCAGAGACAAAGGCGGTGGAGAAAGCGCCATGACCTCGGAAGAAGCCGAGGGTCGAGGGCCCCGACCAGGCCATCGGAAGGCCCGCCGAGGAAGAAGAAGCAGCAGAGTCGCACACCATTGCACCGTCGTGCGCAGCTGCCTCTCCCCTCTGCGTCCCATCGCCTCGACCCGCCTTCTGGTCTGCACCGCCCTCAACCTTCGGCCCACTGCCGCTGCTGCTCCTGCTGCCGTCGAGGATCTTTACCGCGCCGCCCGGACATGGCATGACCTTCAGAAGCAAGCCCCTCTGTCGTCGATTCGCATCCTATCCGCTCGCACCCCGTCTCGGCTGCTCTCCGTCGAGCTTCTCGCCCTCGCTCTGGCGGTCTCACTCCGTCGCATCGCAGCCTCTCGTCCTCGTCCGTCCTTGGCAAGCTTTGCAGCCTCTGCGCCGCGCTTGCACCATGGCGGCAGCATCGCACCCAGGCCATGGCGCTCCGGCCCGCGACGACCGCCTGCCGGACATCATCCAGATCAAGCAGCTCGTCGTTCGGATGATTGTCGGCGTCGACAACTGGGAGCGAGTCTCGCCCCAGACGATCACCATCGATGCAAAGGTCCACACCGACGTCTCAAAGGCCGGCAAGAGCGACCACCTGCCCTACAGCATCCACTACGGCATCCTCGTCAAGCAGCTCGAGGCCCACTGCAGCGCTCACCGCTACCGCAGCCTCGAGGCTCTCGCCGAGGGCCTCGCCAAGATCTGCATCTTTGTCTGCCACGCTCCGCGGGTCACGCTCAACGTCGAAAAGCCTCGCTCGCTCCTCCACGCCGCGTCGGCGGGCGTGCAGATCGTCAGGACTGCCCGGGACTTTGAAGACGCCCACGGCAACCCGGTCTCGGATCAGGTCGAGGCGGACCAGCTGTCCAGCCTGCGACTCTCGCCGCGCTCCCAGTGGGCCGTCGAGGACAAGGTCGTGGTCCGCGACCTGGTCATCAATGCCATCCTCGGCGTCAACCCATGGGAGCGCGAGGACAAGCAGGACATCAAGCTGAACCTCGTCATCCATTCGGGCCTGGAGCGGCTGCGGCAGGCAGGCCAGAGGCAGTCGGGCATCGTCGACGTCGTCAGCAAGCCCCACAACTACCGTACCATTGTCCGCAGCATCACCGAATACGTCGAGCAGAGCTCGTACAAGACCGTCGAGAGCCTGGCCACCTCGATCGCCCGCGTCGCCATCCTACACAACAAGGTCGAGCGCATCCGCGTCAGCGTCGACAAGCCGAGCGCCATCATGTTTGCCGCCAGCGCCGGCGTCGAGGTCGACCGCGGCCGCGAGTTCTTCGAAGAGGAGGCAAGGCAGGAGGCCTCGGCGGCGGCGGCGGCGAGATCGCAGGCACCCGTGTCCGCCCTGGCTGGCGCGCCCAAGCCGGCGTTGGGGGACCTCGCCGCCGGTAGCGAGTGGCACATTGCCGCGATCGCGCTTGGATCAAACGTCGGCGATCGCGCTGCGAACCTGGAGCGGGCGGTACAGGCACTGGGCGAGGCCGAGGGCTGCGTCGTCGTCGACACCAGCTTCCTGTACGAGACGGCGCCTATGTACGTGACGGACCAGCCTCGCTTCCTCAACGGAGCCTGCAGGATCGCCACTACGCTCTCGCCGCACAAACTGCTTCGCCTGACGCAGTCGATCGAGACCAAGCTCGGCAGGGACAAGACGGGCGTGCCGGACAAGGGCCCGCGCAGCGTCGACCTCGACATCCTCCTCTACGACACGCTGGAACTGGACGACGGGCCGAAGCTCGTGATCCCGCATCCGGCCATCAAGGAGCGCGAGTTTGTCCTGGAGCCGCTCAAGGACATCCTGCCCGAGTTCGAGCACCCCAAGCACTCGCGGACGATAGCCCAGCTGCTGACGATGCTGCAAAAGTCGCCCGACTATGAGCCCAGCGGCATCAAGAGGGTGATGCCCATGCCCTGGCCACGGACCGCCAACGCCTCCGCGCCCGCAGACACGCCGCTGTGGTCGTGGGGCTCCAAGACGTTTATCATGGGCATCATCAACGCCACGCCCGACTCGTTTTCCGACGGCGGCGACAACCAGCGCGTCGAGACGGCACTGCAGACGGCGCTGGACATGATTAGGGAGGGCGCCGACATCCTCGACATCGGCGGCATGAGCACGGCGCCCAACGCGCCAGACATCTCGCCGGACGAGGAGGCGGCCCGCGTCTGCCCGATCATCCGCGCCATCCGGCAGGCGGGCGTTGCAGTGCCCATCTCGATCGACACGTTCCGCGCCTCGGTGGCGGAAGCGGCGCTCGAGGCCGGGGCCAATATTATCAACGACGTCAGCGGCGGCGAGCGCGACCCGCGCATCCTCGACGTGGCACGGCAGCACGCCGTGCCCTTTATCCTGATGCACATGCGCGGCGACAGCAAGACCATGACCCGCCTGACCAAGTACGAGGGCGACAACGTGCTCGAGGGCGTCAAGGATGAGCTGGCGCAGCGGCTCGATGCGGCGCTGCGGCGCGGAGTGAGGCGGTGGAACATCATCCTCGACCCTGGCATCGGCTTCGCAAAGGACCAGAAGGGCAACGTCGAGCTCATCAGGGGCCTCTCGGACCTGACCGCCCGCGAGAGGAGCGGCCGCTACGCAT